AGCACTATACAAACTTCAAGTGTAAGATCATAATCTTTAATCCCCACCCCCACCCCGGTTTTAGGTTTGACATTTTTGGTGGGTTTCATGGTAGGAAGAGTTTGATCAGCGTGCTCAATCCGTAGTTGCAAAATCAAAACTAAAAGCAGAGATTCGATTCAGGGCAGAAGTGGTGTCACCTATTGAATGGGAGAGGTTAGTATTATTTTTTGGTAGTTCTTGTCTAATATGTTTTAATTTGCCTTCACCTTATCATTACATGGAGCATCTCAGTAACTTGCAAATGGACTTAATCTTGGATTTATCTCTTTTGAAGGCATGCTGAAATTTCCTTCTTTATATTTTTTTTGTTGTCCCATGTAATCAAGTGAAGTCTATCTGTGTAAATGTAGATAAGTTTACCTCCCATCACAATTCTCCCATGAATAAGTCTTGGGATATTTCTCCACGGGTATGGGTTGTCCATCGCTAGTAAGTCTCCAATGTAACAAATAAACAAGAAAATAAAAAGTTTGAAGTTGTGCCCAGTTTGTTTATTTTTCATTTTCTCCGCGTAGTATCTAGACTACTTAAAGTTTGGTGTCTACTGTCCTTTCGTATATTTCCCTTGTCAGGTGGATCAGGGATCAACAGAAGTCAGAAGGCATCACTCCTGGTGAAGATGTCTTCATAATTCTCCGTTTAGATGGCCGTGTTCGAAAATCAGGGCGGGTAAGTGCTCCAGAAAGGACAACTTTTTTCTGTGGACTGATAACTCATAAAATGCTAAAATACCTCACTCCTGCCCCCGTACAATTCCGCGGGAGAACGGGGGATAATGAATTTTGGATTGATATCTTTTGCGGTAGTCATGGTTTCCAAATACAGAAATAATCAATCTCACGAATTTTGTACTATGGTAACCATTCCATAGATGTCTGCTTTAATCTGAACAATTAAATTAAATTTGAAGGTTCGTTGGACTTATGCTAGTTATGTACATATATAATGCTTCTGTAACTGTTCGTTAGTAGGGTTATGCCGTAGGGTAACAAGAATGATACTTTATGTTTGGTTCACGGTTTAGACAGGACTGAAAATACAATGGGAGGATATTGCCTTTTCTTCTTCTTTAATACTGTTTGGTTCTGTCCAGTCTAGCATATCAAACATGATATACTACAGTTTTATGTGGAATATCTCACAAGATAGACTCTTGAATGTTTCAGGGCATGCCGGATTGGCAAGACATTGTGAAGGAAGTGCCACCAATGGAAGCATTTTTGAGCAAGGTAGAAAGATAGCAGGATTTTCTTGTATTATTTGCAGGTCAAAAGAAGAAAACAAAGATCATCTGATATGCAGATGTCTATCCCTATTTTCATTGATGGCAAACATTTTATGTTGAAGAAATTCCTGTTTAGAAATTTAAACATGTTTGTAGCATGTGTTAACTTGAAATGGATACAATTGAGCATTGGATTTTCCCGACTGAAGTTTTGTTCTCAATAAATTTGAGATATAATACATGAATCCTATTTGGCTTGAGTTCATTTCTCTGTCTCCTCAAAGGTCTAAAGAAGTTATGTCATTAACTACTACGATGTGAACTTTAGGTTTATGCTGACGTCTCTTTATCTTCGAAGCCAATTTTCAATTTATAATCAATTAGTATTGCTTTTATTCATAAATTGGTTATAGTATAATCACATCGTGATTGTTGTTTACATAAATTTTGTAATCGACTAAGCCCTGCTTCACTTTGTTAAAAATTAGAATTTTAGTAAATTTTGAAATGTCGTGGGCCTCATAAAATTTGTGAGTAAAAATTAATTTAAAAAAATTGGGGTAAAACAAGGATCAAGTCAAACGCGGAACAATATGGAAGAAGAAGTATCACTACAAAAGTTACTTCGTCTCTCGGCAATGCTTTGCATAGGCACCTTACTCGAAGATACACTTAGACATCCTTCAATGTAAAAAGTTAATTTAGTTAGGACCCATTTGATATGGTTTTTGCTTTCATATTTAGCCTATGATTGGCCCCCATTTTTTTCAAAAAATGGGCACCGTTCTCTTTGTCGTTTTCAAGCCGTTTTCGATTTTAAATTTTCCAAAACAGTAAAAACGCGTTTTATTTCCCATTTTCGAAAACGCGTTTTTTCTCACTCCTGCCCCCGTACAATTCCACGGGAGAAGGGGGGATAATGAATTTTGGATTGATATCTTTTGCGGGAGTCATGGTTTCCAAATACAGAAATAATCAATCTCACGAATTTTGTACTATGGTAACCATTCCATAGATGTCTGCTTTAATCTAAACAATTAAATTAAATTTGAAGATTCGTTGGACTTATGCTAGTTATGTACATATATAATGCTTCTGTAACTGTTTGTTAGTAGGGTTATGCTGTAGGGTAACAAGAATGATACTTTATGTTTGGTTCACGGTTTAGACAGGACTGAAAATACAATGGGTGGATATTGCCTTTTCTTCTTCTTGAATACTGTTTGGTTTGTCCAGTCTAGTATATCAAACATGATATACTACAGTTTTATGTGGAATATCTCACAAGATAGACTCTTGAATGTTTCAGGGCATGCCGGATTGGCAAGACATTGTGAAGGAAGTGCCACCTATGGAAGCATTTTTGAGCAAGGTAGAAAGATAGCAGGATTTTCTTGTATTATTTGCAGATCAAAAGAAGAAAACAAAGATCATCTGATATGCAGATGTCTATCCCTATTTTCATTGATGGCAAACATTTTGTGTTGAAGAAATTCCTGTTTAGAAATTTAAACATGTTTGTAGCATGTGTTAACTTGAAATGGATACAATTGAGCACTGGATTTTCCCGGCTGAAGTTTTGTTCTCAATAAATTTGAGATATAATACATGAATCCAATTTGGCTTGGGTTCATTTCTCTGTCTCCTCAAAGGTCTAAAGAAGTTATGTCATTAACTACTACGATGTGAACTTTAGGTTTATGCTGACGTCTCTTTATCTTCGAAGCCAATTTTCAATTTATAATCAATTAGTATTGCTTTTATTCATGAATTGGTTATAGTATAATCACATCGTGATTGTTGCTTACATAAATTTTGTAATCGACTAAGCCCCTGCTTCACTTTGTTAAAAATTAGAATTTTAGTAAATTTTGAAATGTCGTGGGCCTCATAAAATATGTGAGTAAAAATTAATTAAAAAAAATGAATTTAAAAAAATTGGGGTAAAACAAGGATCAAGTCAAACGCGGAACAATATGGAAGAAGAAGTATCACTACAAAGGTTACTTCGTCTCTCGGCAATGCTTTGCAAAGGCACGTTAGTCGAAGATACACTTGTAAAAAGTTAATTTAGTTAGGACCCATTTTATATGGTTTTTGCTTTCATATTTAGCCTACGTTTGGCCCCCATTTTTTTCAAAAAATGGGCACTGTTCTCTTTGTCGTTTTCAAGTCGTTTTCGATTTTAAATTTTCCAAAATAGTAAAAACGCGTTCTATTTCCCATTTTTGAAAACGTGTTTTTTGAAAATGAAAATAAAATAAAAAAAAGAGCAGTGAAAATGAAAAACGACTAGAACCACGTTTTGGAAAACTAACGACAAAACAAAGGAAATGAGCGAAAACACGGGGAAACGGCGAGTTAAATGTTTCAATACACACCGAACTTTGCAAAATGTCACGATTTACTCATTAAACTTCAAATTGTACCTAATTACTCACTCAACTTTATATAGTTGCACTACATTACACACCGGCTAACTTCTGTTTCTAACTTGTGCCTACGTGGAGGATGGAATGCCTATGTGGCTATTAACTCTCTCCAAAATAAAAAATCAAATGTCGGCTCATTTAAATTACATTTTCCAAACAATGTCAGCGCAAGTTTAGTAGGCCAACTAATTTCATATAATATTTCTCTATGACCACTCAATTTCTTTTCACCATTTCACGGGTTAAATCCATCAATGACCACCCACATTTATACCGGTGTCACCTGACCATTCAATTTGATTTGATTTAACCATGGCCACCAAACTTTATACTTTGTGTCACCGTGACCGCCTACTTTGATTTTATTTCACCATGACAACCCAAATTCATATAGCGTCTCTCAAAGACCATCCAATTTCATATAACGTATCACGACGATCACCCAACTTCTTTTCACAATTTTCACTAATTTTAAAATGAGTAAAAATGCAACTTTACATTATTTATATATAATACATTTAATAAAAAACAAAATAAAAATAAAACGTATTTTAAAAATTACTTAAAAAATAAAATAAAATAAAACTTATTTTTTTCAAAATTTTTTAAAAATAAAATAAAAACTTATTTTAAAAAAAAAATTACTTAGAAAAATAAAATAAAATTAAATAAAAAGTTATTTTAAAATTATAATACTTATCATTTTATTTTAAAATAAGTTTTTATTTTATTTTAAAAACATTTTGTAAATAAGTTTTTATTTTATTTTATTTCTCTAAGTAATTTTTTAAAATAAGCTTTTATTTTATTTTTTAAAATAAGTTTTTATTTTTATTTCTAAAAATATATTTTATATATAATGAAATGTTACCGTTTTACACCTATTAAAATTAGTGAGAATTGTGAAAAAAATTGGTTAGTCATAGTGAAACGTCATTTGAAATTGGATGGTTATGATAAAATAAAATCAAATTGGGTGGTCAGATAACAAAAAGTATAAAGTTGGGTAGTCATTGTGAGACAAAATCAAATTGGATGATTATGATGACACCAAATATAAAGTTGGGTGTCATTTATGGATTTAACCCGCTATTAGTAGGTTTTAAAATTAATTATTTATTAATAGAAATTACTTTTAGGAATGTTTATAAGCGCAAATAAACGTGGCGCTTGATTTTTGGTAAAGTCATGCTTTGTCGTGAGAAATTTTGGTCTTCCAAGTTATATCACTACCAAATTCCCTCCCTACTTTTATCAATTAATTTTCACGGATCAGTGAGAAGAGTGTAAACTATCAAGCCATGCGTCGGTATATAGTGAAAGTGAAGGACGTAGGCAACTATTACCACCGCAGAATCAATATTCTTGGCGTTGTAGTTGAATTCTCCATTCCCTGCAAGTCCAACGGCTCTGGTACTGTTTCAGTTTTCAGTTTCGCCTCTTTTACTTTTCATTACTGTGCCTTTTTGTCTAATCTGTAAGATTTCATTTTGTTTACTGTTTTTGTTGAATGGCATTACATGGGTTAGTGGGTTAATGTAGTATCTATTTTCTAGGAATTAGGGGTTTTGTTGCATCTCTGTTTAAAGAGTGTAAAAGAAGTAAATTGGGGAAAAGAAGAAGAATTTATTTAGCAATTTTATGCTTTTGGAGGTCAAGAATCCATCCAACGAGGCTTTGTTTTTTTATTTAGATGTCATAAACTTTATTATTTGATTAATAATTTGATATTTTTGTAATAATTACAGATTACTTCACTATTCTCAAGATTATTGATCAGTCTCAAAATGATCAAGAGTTATGCGTCAATGTTTTCATGGCAAGTATCAATGCCTTGCCCCACATACGAGCCCACAAAGACATCATCCTTCTCTGCGACGTTTGGGTATGCTGAATGTTGCTACTTTTACTGCCATGTTATTTTTATTGATCCTTGTAATAAAATTGCTTGCTTTCCATAAAACAAAGTTTAATTTTGAAATTCACGAGCAGATAGAAAACTATGAGCAAAAGCCTTCAGCAATTTTCAACAAGACCTCTTCATTTGCTCTCTTTGATGGAAGAGTTGGTGATGATTTCAGACCCTATCAAGTTTCTCCCACATTTCGATTTCTGGATTCTGATAAGGTCTTTATCCGACGCTTGAGAAACTGGTCACAGATTACCCCTTACGACGCCGGTATTTTCTCATGATTTGATTCTACATTAGCTTTAACTGAAAGTGCACACTATTTTGCTTTTAGTTTAAAAGTTGTTCATTTTATTTCACGATCAGTTTTTCCAAGTGGATGGTTACTTCTAAACTTTTTTTCAAGAATTGAGAATTTGCATGGTTTGCTATTCTCTATTTTCTCTCCACTGATGATATTATATGTGAGTTACTTACAGCTGGTGCTAAGTTTAAGTGTTGCAGGCATTAGTCAACACGTAGTGTCATTGGAAGATATTGAAGGAAAGTTGTTTGTTGATCTAGTATGCAAGGTGATTCATGTTTGCTTTATCTTCTGCTCCACACTTGCCACACTGCATCTAATCTAAGCACTATCCTTTTTTATGAGAAGTAATGCCTAATTATTTTATCTTTTTGTATGTTCATTATACGTGTCTTAGGTTCTCTATTCCTGTGAAGTATCTAGTGGCAAGTGGATGCTGTTTGTGTGGGATGGAACTGATGCACCTCCCATAAGCATAAATACTAAGTATGTTTTTTTTCTTTTAAATTTATTATTGCAGTCTTAACCATTTATGCCGGTAGTCTACTAAGCTAACGTTATAAGCCAGAGGAATGAAAAAAATAAATTTTCTTCTGCTCTGTATATTACTTCATCATTGTCACATTTTCAATTAAAAGGCAAAAAAATTGGAGGGCTGGATTCAAGCAATTAATGTAGTAGATTTCTAAATCTTAAAAGGTTTGCAAAATCTAGTTTCTCCATGTTTTTGACACACTACTTTTGCTATACTTATCTTCAATTCGGTTAAGTTGAACATGAACTACAGTTACCTAGCATTCGTAAAGGGTGCAGGTAAGGCCCATTTTTCTTTTATGATTATTAAGCCCTGTTCGAGCCACATTAAAATTTTCATTCTCATTCTTCTACTCATTTTCAACCACACATTCTTCAATAAATTAATATTTTTCATCACATCAATAACTTTTCCTTCTTTTTCAACCACACATTCAATATCAATCTACTATTTCAAAATAATGTGGCTCAAACACACCTTAAGTGAGATAATAGATTTGATTTTTTTTTTCACGTTTGTATCCCCGAGGACATAAAACTTCAAAATATAAAATGAAATTGAGGAGAATGTATTAAAAAATAATTTGTGCTAAAACTGTCTCAATTCAAAAAAATTCTTCTTAAAATTTTTTGGGAATTTTTTTGGGAACTTAATTTGAGCTCTGCTAATAAATTCTCTGTCATCCGAGATTAATAATTATAGAGTTACCATCATTACCTTGTCGTTACGATAGGTTGCTGAGTCTGTGAAAAAGAAGGTGATAACTTGGGTTCTGATCTGAGGAACAGAGACCTTATGGGGCTCTTTGTTGGGTCCCAATCTGTGATAAATATTTGAATTTGTAAGGCAACATATCGGAACTCTACATACCAATTGGCTCTGTTTAGCAAATTGATAATCACTAAACATAAGTATTGATCCGTATTATTTATAACTATATATTAGTTAGCAACAAACAGAAATCATGTTTGACCAATAAATGATATATGATTGACAGAAGGAAATGAGACATAATAGCAACCTTCCAGTTTGTTCCCCCAAGGAAAAAATTCCTGCTCTGCCCCGGTCTTGTTAGCATAGAGATCTCATGTAGATTATTATGAAGTTAAATTTTGATGGAAGCGATTGTTTATGGCCATTGAGAATGTTGACAAAGTTATTAACTGCTTGTTATACACTAGTTGCCCATAGCATACAAAATTCACATTGAGGAGCATTAGATTGTCAACTATAAGAGGATGAATTTCTTACATGCCAAAGCATACAAGATGTTCTAATATCCACTAGAGAAGTTCTTAGGTGCATCTTGGATTTGCCTTGTTGATATGTGATTACTCGTATACATCTGCATGTTTACTTATACATCATTTAACATTGGGTAAGGCAGTGATATTCAACAAGTATTTTTCCGTGAAAGAGGAAGTGAATAACAACATGAAGTGTATGTATTTTAGGCTTACAGATGAAGAGCAGATTGCTCTACCTCTACAGATTGAACCAGTACGTTTGCATGAAGATGTTTTACGCAATTTTCCACATGTTGGGACAGTGTTGAGAATTGTAGCTGGTGAAGTATACGAGGAAAGTGGTATTCACTTTCAATTTGTTGGAAATTGGGTTAGGATGCGTAATCTTCACTGTAAAACCGAGTCAGGTTTGTGGAAAGGAGTTTTAACTCAAGCAACCAAGTGTCGACCTTTGTCTGAGAAAGACAATAGCGTTATTGACCGTTTAAGGTAACCCTTTCTCACTTGGGCATTTTGCCACAAAACACGAGACTTGGCCCAGTCAACAACCTTGTATATAGCCTCTTTACTTGTATCATGAATCATTCTTAAATCATATTTTGGATTTTCTATTAGGGTTTGTAACGAGAGAATATTGGAACGGGGTCGGATTCCTTCTGCCGCAAATCCTATTTCCGAAATCTTGACTGGTAATTTATTGGCAGCTGTCTTCTTCCTTTTTCTGTACTAATGGAAGTTTTACAACACTGCTTTTGTTTGCCAATCTAGTAAGAAACATTCTGCTGGAGCCTTCTTTGTCTTTTGATGTTTATCATTTTTCCTAGTTCAGTGACAGGTAACGAGCAGGCCCGTTTTGCAACATTGTTGGATCTTCTCTTGTCACCATTGGTAGTTTTTGCCAATGTCATGTTCATGTTACTGCTGCTTATCCCAGAAATCAAATGACCTTCAGTTTTTTTGTTTTTTTAACAATTTGTTTCTGGGATTTAATATGTATCAACTAATCTATCACGGCTTATAGGGTTTTATTTTATTTTTCCCCTCTATTACAGGTTCATGGTGGGTTTAAATGCATTGTTCGCTTTGTGGCTGTTTATCCTTCCCGCACCAAATACTTCAAATCACCTGCTGGAAATTACAGAATAAGAATGACTTTAGAGGATCCAACCGCAAGATTACATGCTCTATTGTGTTTGGATAATGCTGTAAGACCTGTTTTTCTTACATTTAACTCTTAGAAAGCAGTTTGATTGATTTACAACTATTCGAGTATTTTCCTTTAGTAGTGCGGTGATTTCTGATTTTTTCTGTAATGGTTTCGCAGGAAGTGTTTTTCAGTGGCTACCCTGACGTTGATACACTAACTACTAAGATTAACAAGTTGCTCGGTGTTCAGGAATCTGAATCTTTCCCGAGGAATCCACCATGGGTTCAATGTTGTATAGGATTCCATTCCTCGGATGAAAATGATGTCATAGGGAGTAGGGAATTTCATATATGTAACACTAGGCTTGTTGCTTAGCATGCTGTAAATTTGCAAGTATACCCCTATCTGTTAGCAAGCCATTACCTATTATATAGTCACTTTGTTGGATCTCTCCCTTCTCGGTAGAATTAGCGTTTCCTTTTTCCCGAGGAATCCACCATGGGTTGCATGTTTAGGCGTCTTTTGAAGTGAAAATCTGACGTGCGTTTTTGTAATGCGTTGAATTCACATGCCCTATTCAAATTACATTTCCTCCGACGATAAATGGGAATTGCCAGTTTCCCCCGAAGATATGGATCGATGAACCACAAGGGAAAGCAGGACCCTAGTAATTTTAAGCTCGATCCAATTTACATATTTAGCTCAAGGCACAACGGCATTTCATTACTAAAAGATAACAAAGAATAGCAACTAAGAAAAGACAATTCTTTAACTTCTCATGTAATCTCATTGAAAGTACATTATCACGCCAAAAAAAAGTTTTGAGCAGCAATGTATAATAAAAATACTACAATATTTATTTGAAATGCAGTAAAAATGATAAATGTATAATCATGTAACATGAGTAATATAACTAAAGAATGCAACACCGCAAGAAATGGGGACTAGTAAATTGAATGCTTGTCCGCAACACCAGGCCAGAATTTCCTGTAAATGGAAATTGCAGTTGGAATAATAGCAGCCAGGGCAAGAGAGAGATTCTCCGAATTACTTGTCCTTACGGTGATCTGACCACTGAGCTTGTTGTTAATCCCGGCTCGGACAGCAACCTTAGAATTACGCCCGATTGAGAATTGAGCCAGACTGTTGAACCCGAGAGCTAAGTCGCCGCGCCATTTGATCACAGACATGCTGAGGGTCGATTGAACCTGGCCCATTGGAGAGTCGAGCTCCTTACGTTGCAGTTCAAAGTTGGCTCCATACGCAGTATCACTCTGTGAACGAACTGCACCACAGCTACCAACTAAAACAAACTGTTTTCCCAATGTTATCTGATCCTCAATCTTCACACCAGGCACAACATTCTCGCCTAGAAAAGTAACAGATATCCCACCAGCCGCCTTGTTCTTCTTCAAATTTTTGAATTTGGTTTCACCTCGGACTATGTATGCAAGTTGCTTTCCCATACTTTGAATGTCAAACCCTGCCATGCTCGAGATATTCTCCCCGTGCTTAACTGAAACCGAGGAATCCAAACTGAGTGTGAAGTCTTTCTTATCCTTAGTGATTTGAACTGTAAATGCAGCTGGGTAGCGATTGGCAATAGCAAGGCCATGTTCGAGGTTAACGCCATCATATCCACAATCATGGTCCCAACCATGGGAATCTAGAACTGGTCTTGCAAGAAACTGAGAGGTTGGCTCCAAGAAACGGTACCTGTATGCAGGATTATCGCCATCAAATGAAGGTGGCAGGGCCATGTCTGGTAGAGGAACTGCCACAGGAGCTGCAGCTACAGCATCGGCTTCTTCCTCTGGATTACCGTAATCAGTTGCAGGAACCTTCCCTTGCTTTTTAAATTCTTTCATCCTTCTGATTTCGTCTTTAAACTGTTTCTTCTGAAGTAGCTTCACCCGATAGTCATACTCTTCAAAATATGCCTTCCTCTGTTCTTTGCTGAGTTTAGCTATCTGAGCTTTCCTCAGAGGCTTAAACGGAGGGAGCTGGTCATATTCATCTTCTCCTTCTTGATCAGAATCTGAAAAATCATCCAAGTCTATATCCGAATCAGCATTGTCTCCGCCCTGCTCAGAAGGAAGCTTTGGATGTGCACGAGACTGCAACATCGATGACAACATGTACGGAAGAGGTGGTGAGCGGACACGAAAACCAAATAGCTTGCGGTGGTCAAATGGATCATTTGGTTTCGAGAGAGAACTTGCTTCTGATAATATCTTCATCGAGTAGCATAACAGCAATAACTGAGATCTCCAACTCTGGCCATTGGGAAGTATTTTCTGACCCTCCCTGTTCTTCCGGCAAGAGGGGTGGTTTTCCACAAGAGAAACAGGATTCATCAGACTTGGACTCATCATACGTAGATCACCTACCGCCTGTCCAATGGACTGTTGGACAACATGAGATCTTTGAGCAACAAACGCCTCGTAACTCAGAGGAGTGCCAGAAGGTCCATCTGGAGGTGCAGAGGCACCATGTGTAAGGGTGACTATTGCACTTCGCCAGGTAGAGGGGCCAAGAGAACTAGTAACAGTCCTCAGTAGTGGTAGATCGTTAAGATCTCTTGTTTGAGCATCCAATCGGTCCACATAGAGGACGACATCTGGTGAGCTTTTCTTCGTGAACTTCTTTACAGAAGACAATACATTGCGGTTGTAAGCCTGTTCCATTACCGAAGACTTGAGACCAGGTGTGTCAGAAACCACAACCTTAACTCCATCAACAAACCCACTAATCTCTTTCACAGAAGTCGTCCCAGTTTCAAATGCATCGATTGGTGCTTTCTCCTCTCCAAATATCGAATTTATAGTAGCACTTTTACCCACTCCAGATTTTCCAAGAACCAAGATGTTCACATTGAAGTCCAAATCATCTTTTCCCTCTGCTTCAAGCTCCACAGCCATCCTCTTGGCAGCATCCACACTAAAAATTTGGCCATTCTGCCTTCCTGCAAGAAGTGTGAACCGATACAGAACCTGTGCTGCCATGGATTCTTCTAGAGACAGGCCTAATCTATGAACAAGCCTCAAAAATTTAACTCTGATCTGCTGTAACTTCTCCAGTTTCTTTTTCTAACAAGCCTCAAAAAGTTAACTCTGAGCTGCGGTAACTTCTCCAGTTTCTTTTTCTCTGCTTCACTCAAGGTGTCCTCAGATTCTCCCCTCCCAGAAAAAGTGGAAGGAGTGAAAATGTTGGGGCGGTTTGGTTGTGGGGCAGGTCGCAAAGACCGGAGTGAAGATCCCAGGCCAGCGGGACGCTCGACAGAGAAAAGCCTAGACCCATCTTGAGAGGTTATGGTTATACTGCCACTGTCTGAATCAGCACCTGTTGCAGCTTTCAAAAGAGCTGCCAAGGCAGCAGAATCAAAAAACTCTTTACCATCTCCTTCTTCATCTGTGTCAGCTTCTTCTTCTTCCGAGTCTGTGACAATTTGACCATCAATCCCTTGAGGGTGCTCAAGAGAACTGTCAGTGCGTGAACCACCACCCGATCCCCGTTCCAGCTCCTCAATGAACTGCTTGGCGGCCTCAGAACTTCCAAATATCATACCATCAGTTGCCTCATCTGATATCAAGTCTTCATGATCAGCTTCTTCATTTGTTTGATATTGCCCTTCATCTTCTCTAATTTCATGTGGCTCAAAGAACGGTTCAGGTTCTGATTCCTCGTGCACCCCTTCCTCCAATTGATCACCAACATTAACATGAGCATATTTGCCATTAGTATCTCCATCCGCTCCTGCTGTTCCACTCAAGAGTCCAACTTCTCTATCATTGCTAATCTTCATTCCTGTTCCGATCTCAGAAACGGCAACTGTGTTAAATCTGTTCTCCGACTTCTTTACAATATTCTCGACATCCTGAGCTCCATCTCCATCGACCAAATCATTTGTTGTTACACCCATGTGAACTCCATTTGCCACATCATCGACAGCTCTTGCATCAATCTTTTCATCTTTTTCATCTGCAACAGCATTATTGTCAGGTTCAATTGGCTTGAACTCAGAACTTTCATAAACTGGTTCAGCGTTCTCATCAACTGGAACCTTCACTCTTTCAATTTCTTCATCAGTCTCCCTAACCACCACCACCCCGGGCACAGTGGGCACAAGTGTGTCAACTGTAATGGTATCAACAATGGAATCTCCTTCAGTTGTGAATTCCACACTACGTGCTTCTTCAACTCCATGATTAGTTTCACAAGCAGCGCCAACTGGTTCCACATTCTCATCAGCTGGAACCTCCACTTTTTCAACTTCGGGTCCTACCTCCCCAACAACATCCACCCCCTGCCGAGGCATATCAACATGAATGGTATCAACAACAGAATCCCCTTCAGATGTGATTTCCACACTTGATGATTCTTCACTCCCACGGCTAATTTCAATAGCTGCGCCAACCAGTTCCACACTCTCATCAACTGGAACTTCCTCCATTTTGATGTCTCCATCTGTAGGCTGAACAACAGCCACCCCTGGTCCAGGGGTATCCACATCAATAGTACCAACAACAGAATCCCCCTCCGATGTGAATTTCACCCCACCTGCTTCGGCCAACTCTGATTCGGCAGGTTCAACAGAATCCCCTTTTGCATCCTGTTCAGTAGCCGGAGCTTCACTGGTCAAAGACTCGGTCTTCTGATTCTTCTCAGCCTTGTCTCTATCCATCTCAACCTCCTCCACCTTCTTCTCTGCATTCAATTCCACATTTTCAACCTCCTTATTCTCAAAACTATCTAGAAAGTCACCACCACTTCCTTTCGCTCCCTCGTCCAAATTAGAATTCTGGATTTCACCCTTCGCCTCTAAACCGTCAAGCCCAGCCACCTTCGATTCGATAGTATCACTATCAGCAATAGCAACTGAACCATCAACAGAATCTTTCCCCAACAAAACCCCATCTTTTTCGTCATCATTAATCCCTTTTTCAACACCACTATTATTCTCAGAAACCCCGGAAATCGGCAAAGCATCGAATTTTGCCATTGAAAGTCCCGAGGCCTCATCAAAATCCCTATCCTCAGCACCCTTCCCTACAGCTTCCCCATCCGCCCCTGTCAAAACCAGCTTCTCCGAAGCCGGTTCAAACTCCTCTTGCCCACTAACATAACCTCCCTCGTCCTCTTCATCAGAAACACTATCTTTAATCCCATACTCACAATTATCCTTACCATCACTGTCCACAACACTTGTTTTCAATAAATTTTGATTATTAGATACATAAGAAGAAGAGGAAGAAGAACCTGTGGAAGTCTCTGAAACGGGAAACGCCGTCGCTTCCTTAGAATCCATGGACGGAGTAACAAGGAATTGAAGGTTAAGAACACTTTTAAGATAAAGGGTTTTGAGGGATTATGGATAAGGGAAGAAGGATAGGAAAAGAAGAGAGATTGTGATAAGGCTTTGGGGTTGGGGTTTTGAGAGGGAGACTTCAGGAAGAGATCTGTCGAGAATATTGTAATGAATTTTCACTGACACCAGAGTTTTCAATTAACTCAACTCCCTCCTCATCGTATCTCAGATCCTTTCTACTAGAACAAGACACTGCAGAACACTACCAATTCCGCCTCCACCTCCATCTACACTTCC